GCAGAGACTCCTCTGCTAGATATGCAGGATGAAATCAAGTAAATTAGTACTTTGCCTTTGTGTTCGTTAGAGACAAAGTTCACCTTTATGTTTTTCTGCAGCTTCAGCCTTGTGTGGACTCTTTGCTATGAGAGGATTTCAATTCTAGTGAATGAAGTCCTAACTGAGCTTACACCGGGCTTTACCAGGTCTTCTGCAACCCTCTTAGTGACAGATTTAACCCCTGAGTGACACAGAGATTTAAAGCTATGTCACATCCTCTGAACTACACCATGATGTGGATGGCACACACGAGATGGGCAGTATCTCCATCTCAACCACACAGATACCAAGAAGCTGGGTCCTTACAACTGAGCTCCAGGTTCTGCATTAAGAAGAAAGCAAAATAAATGCACTGTCTCATCAGTGTAATTCAAAGGAGCAGCTGTCTTCGAGATGAAATAGTTTGTACAACTAGAACAAAATTTGAAACCCAACAAGGTATTTGGATTGTTTGTCAGCTCATCACAAACTGTAGTTTCAGTCCTAGGCTTTGATACTCCAGAATTTTTCAAGATTCAATTCTCTGAGTTATGTGAATTCAAGCATAATATTTCTGAGCTGTCAAAAAATCCAAAATCAGAGATTCTGAGATTATTAAGCCTGAATCCACTGTGTTTGCTAAACTATTTTCACTGTCTCCTCAGCTCTGGCTGGAGAAAGAGTGACAACGGCAAAGGAAATGGTATCACAGCCCCAATGTTTCAATGTTTCTTCTTTACAAATGGTAATTTAAGATGTTTTGACAAAACCAAAGTATGTCTCTTAATAATAACTCTGCCATTCAATGGCTTCTTGTGTTCTGTTCTCAATTCTCACATTCTCACTCATCATTTGAGTGCCTAAATTTCCTCCAAGGATGCCATCAAATGCACAGCTGGCAGCTGGCATATAGGGATTTTTTTGTGTTCCTCCTCCTAACAAAAATATCCATAGATTGTAAGTTTTGAAAGAGCAGATATACTCATTTCTCCATGAAATATCATGTGCTTTTATTAACAAAGGCTTAAGAAATTCAGCTCACCATAGAGGAATTTTGATGAGCAGAAAATCAGTTCCCTAAGTGGAATATGGCCAAGACTGAATACAGTGTCCTGTCACACAGTTTCTAGATCTGTGGGGCCTTGGGAAAACAAGAGTCTGCAAATCTAAGACAAGGGCATGGCCCTAGCTCTTTGGTTTCATGGATACAGGCCCGCATGGCATAAATGAATGTATATCTATTGCAGAGGCTTCAGCCCATGATACTGAAACATTTGTCAGTTGATCAGTAAGCTTTTGAGATTAAAAGATGCAGAGGAACAAAAATATTAAGAAACCACCATACCTCCCACACATTCAGAGGATGAATCACTAAGAGGCCAATTCTGCAAAGTGCTCCACACTTCTCTGCAGCACTGCACAGGAAAAATTAAGCAATGACGTAAACCAAGAAAAAGTACCCTTTGCAACTGTCCCACCACCAACTGCTAGGAGCTATTCATTAAAGATCACCTCCTTCTTTCCTCAGCCCACACATGAGGGTTCAGATGTCAGTAGCTGAACAAGTGATGTTCGAATTGAGCCCTGTCCACCTTTTTGATGGTTCTTCCCAGCAACTGAAGGATAGAAGCGGACATGTAACTGGGGAGATTACTGACATTTGTTGTTGGCTTTTCAAGCACTAGCTGAACTACGATGTATCCTAGGATGACTCGTGTTTTTTCTGCTTTGGGAAGGGCAATCGTGATCAGGTCAGGCACGGGCCTAATTGCTTTGTACTAGATAAACTTGTGCTGTGCAAACCATTTAGACCATCTGTGGAACATGTGATGTGGAAACTACACCCTTACGCTACGAGAAGCAGGTAGAAAGCAAACCTGCATGTTTATTACTCACTGCTATTTGAGTTCTCATCAACTTGGCATACAAGAACAAGACTCTGCAGATGTAATCTACAGACATTCATTCATACTCAGATATTTTAACACAACCTCTTAATCTTCAAGCTTATTTCATCTTGGTTCAAGGTTGAAGGGGTCAAGCATGAGATGTATATTTGTCTTCAGGAGCTGGAAGCCTAAATTGTTGATAACCCAAGTAGCCAATTTCTAGAGAATAGCAGTAAATAATGTCACAAATACTTAAACGAGGACAAGCAAGGAATAGTTTTAAATACTTCTTTTTACAAGCCTCCCACCAAACAAACTACCACTTATTTTAAAGCCAGAGTTGCAGGTTTCTGGAAATCATAGTCAAAGGTTGTTCATTGGTCTTAATAGATATCGATGAAATGGGTAGTAATTTCATGGTTCACAGTGTTTCACTTCATGTCCAAATTTTCTGTTTTGTTTTTTTCTTTTAATTTTAAAAGTGGTCATTAATGTACAGTAATATACTAATGTGGTGCGGGTTGGGGTTTTTTTGTTCATTTGTTTGTTTGAATTGTATGGCATATTGTGTCCTATTACAAAAAGTTTGACTAAAGAATTATGCAAAAGGCTTTAATTTAAATACTTGTTCAGCCATATGGAAATGTACAATCTGGTTTATGTTCTATGGGAAACCTAAAGTTGCTATAAACTTAATGAATTTTAAAACTTCCCATCCATTACTTAATGCAACAATTTGCTAAAGTAATAATAACACTCATTCTGTTACAATTTGCCATACTGGAGATGCTTAGAGATGAGTCAGGGATACAAAACTCTAACAGTGATCAAAAATCCTCTACAGTTCAGGAGGATGCAGCACTGGAGTTTGGTCCTGCTATCTCTGAAAATACTATCACCTCATCCTTATGCGAGGAAATGTCATGATAATATTACACAGAACGGAAGACATAATAGTTCGGTTCATTAGTATTTTTTTCCATGTAATGCTTTATAAAAGAGATAAAGCTGAAGAAAATAAAACCAGACATATAAATATTACGATGAAGTACGCTGTTCTTATTTAAATAAATTTCCTTGAGCAATATCTTCTTAAAAGGTGAAAATTAACCACTAACATTTGTCTCACTGTATAAAAGTGACGATAGTAATTATAAAGAACCCGATGGTCTTATGCTTATTTCATCCTATTCTTAAGTTTTCACAGCAAAAATATTAAAATTTACAATATTACCAAAAAGATGCAAACCTGTCAAATATATTACTCTGAAGTAAATTAACAATTAATTTATAGGAACCTACCGTAAGAACTATTCATTGGACAGTAGTAATGGTTTTCTATATAAAATCTATCAAAAATTGTTGGAGAAAATATACAAAGCGTAGCTGATAGCTGATGAAATCTGCAATATGGCCACAGAGAAATAAGTTGCAGATCATCAAAGTTAGCTCTTGTGCAGAAACATCCACCATGAGTTCCTTAATTTCACTTTTCACTGGAGAACAGCAGGAGGTTTCCATAATGCAACCATCATAGGAAACTGATTCAACGCCGTACTTTAAGCTTTACCCGTAGTTGGAACTGGCAACAGTTTAGATTTTTTGGTGCTCTGATCTCTCTTGCTCTCCGGAAGGCTACGTAAATATAAAAATCTTCAGCAGAAAGACAACTCTCTCTAAAGCACTGGCAAGTGGTCTTAGTAGAAGACTGTTCAAAAAAAGAAAGGGAAAACCAGACTTAGCTGGACTGGTAAAGCAATATTGGTAAAGCAATACAGTAACACTCTATACGTAAACCAGCAAACTAGGTCATGGTTAGAAGCTGAGAGATTTGTGGTCATGCCCTCCAGACACACGCCCATAAACTTGTGGAGCTCAGAGGACCTTTTGCAGATTTAAAGGTGCTCATCTGTCTAAGTGTTCTTTAGCCTGAGCCAGCAGCCAAGCCCTTATCTTGCACCAATGAAGGCAAAGTGCACTTTCAACTATTTTGAACATCAAAAATGTCAAGTGATTGATTCTACCCAACCTCAAGCATTTAACTAAAGCACCTAGACAAGGACATAATTAACCCAGGCTCTGGTCATCAACCACAGATGGAAAGCTGCAATTGAAGCAGGTGATTCAGTCTTGCCCAGGTTAAGGGTGACAGTGTTCCTAGCTTAGACATCTCAGCCAGGTTACTGAAATCAGATGTGATGACCAACTGCAGGTCTCCCTGTATATAATCAGTGTATGTGTGTTCTGCTCTACTGGACCTGCATCCAGCACTGGGACCAGCCAGAACTGTTTCTGGCTCTTCACCTAAATTAGGGAAGGGTTCTACTTCCTATGGAAAACATTGGCAGCTCTGACCCCCCCACTGGCTAGATACCAAAACTGTTCTCTTTTGAAATCTGTCAACATTTATTCAGTTCAAATTCTGAATGGAAACTTCGCTTGTTTTATTTTTCTTCAGACACGAACTTGTAAAGGACTTCTTTTTTTAGTTAGTTAGTTAGTTGAAACTCAAGTCAGGAACAGAGCCTATAAATTTTCACTGTCCTGTTCTGGCCGGTGGAAAACGAAACCCCACAGATTCTCCCATAGCAAGAGGAAAGCTCCAGTAATTTACTTAGTGGGTGCCTCACTTTGGTCCTCAAGGTCCTCCACAAAACAGAGATGATGTTGTCTAACTGCAAACTACTTGTTCCTGGGAAAAGCTTTGTCTCTACAGGTGCTGGTTTACGCACTGCTGATGCACTTCTCCTCTCATGGGAGGTCTTAGTACTGCTGCAAGATTAGCTGTGGTGTGGTTGAAGGTAGATACAAGGATATTTGCTTTTTATTCATTCCCAAATGGGGTAATACGGAGTTTTCTTGCTTCTCACTTCTCACCAAGAAGGTGACTTTACCCTCTTGTAAATTTACATCTGCACCGCTGATAACTGGCCCCTGGTCCAGCCTTTAGAAGAGTTATGCTGCAGCTGGAGAAGTAACTGGGTGATTCCCAGACCACCCGACAGCAGCACAGGGAGCACTGCCACCTTGTTTCTGTTCAACAAATACATGCCAAGCACATAACATTAATTAAGACATACTGTACCTCCAGCTGTTTGGATCTTGATGTGTTTATTTCCTTCTAATCTTCATTAGGAAAAAAAGGTAGAGATGGTTAAAACATTGCAACGTATCACTAATTTAGAGCTCCATTTAAAAAAAAACCATGCCACAAAGGTACTACTGTTCCAAAACCGGCCACTATTATTATGGTTAATAGTATTATTTTTCTTCATTTTTTTGTTCTGCAGCAAATTTTGGAAGCACCAAGTCAGTGACTAAACTCTGTGGTGTACATACGTGACAGCAGCATTTTGTTGTATTAAATCTAAACAATTATTACATGATTTCATAAATATATGTTTATGACTTGTTTATTAAGTACCTATAAACCTAATGCTTTTTCCCACTGTTCGAAAACATCACATGGAAAAGAAACAGTTTGCACGGGGTTTCATATTAAGAACAGAAATAAACCTGAAAGCAAGCACTTACTAACTGTTATTACTGGAATTCACCACAATGCAAGTAAACACCTTCAAAACTAAAAATAGTGCTGAGGCTCCGCAAGTGCATCTATCACAGCCTCTTACTCCTAACAGGGTTTTGTCTTCTTTGAATTCGCAGAGCACTCAGAGCGTGGAGAAGCTGTTCAGAAGACAATGTACCACATTGTCAGCATCTGCTCTAGGATCCTTCTGCAAAAGTAAGTGTGTTAAAATTTAAATAAACGGGAACAATCACTTTAATGATTATAAATAGCCCCACTGCCTTAAGAGGCTCCAAGGCTAGCCAGTCTGTCTGAAATAATAATTGATTTTTAAAGGAAATACATCCTGCTAGGTAAAATTAAACTGAGAGAGCAGGAGAAATGCAATACGCAACCTTCCGATACCTTTCGGTGCAGCTTTCGTCTGACTGGAAACCATGGCAGCCGCGTCCGAGGGCAGGCCAACATACACGCCACCATAGTTCCTGATTTAAAGAAACAATTATAGAGACATCAGAGCTTAATTGTAACACTTCTCCCTATAATGTTGACATCAGGGAGCAGCATTACAAAGACCATGGATGGTCAGAGAGGAGGGCAGCTCTACACAAGCATCCTCAGAGGAGCCCTACTTTCCCTTGGCTATGGTAAAAGTGCATATTAAGTGCCATGTGCTTGCTAATACAGTGCCATGCAAAAACCACTTGAGGTTAGCTGTTACTCTTAAGTGGGACCCAAGACTGTGAAAGGAGCTATTTTTCACGCAAGTTCCTAATATTTTTCATTAAATCCCAACTGTGTTCTGACAATAAACCCCACTGGCCCAGCTTCTTCTAGACACCGAATATATCCAACCGAGGACAGAGCCAATCTGATAATAATGTTCAACACTGGGACTGCTGAAGCACCTCGCTTCAAACACCACACACCAATTAAACAGCACTTTGACCTTTCCTCGTTAGTAAATAGGACCTGCATCCCCCTGCTTAGGGCCACGCTCGGAGAAAACTGTGAGTAGGAAGGAGCACGAGGGTGTTAAGTACTTTCACAGCCCAACCCTCTCCCCTTCATGGCCTTGTAGAGCATATTTTCTGGCTCCGAGGCCTGTATGAAAAGCAGGGACTGATGCAAGGAGGTGAAAAACTGGGTGCTTAAGGGCCTCTGCTCTGCCTGGAGCTACCTGCAGAGACTCCCATTACGCTGCTCTGCCCTGTTAGGTGCCAAATGGATCATGCCTCCTCCAGCCCCCAGGGCTCTGCGTTGATTTCTGATTTGTTTGGTGATAGAGTCACATCTCCTTTGACTTCCAGCCCAGCAGAGATCTCCCACAGGTGCTGATGCCATCTTCTGTGGCGGGGCTGGGGTGATGGCAGAGGTCACTGGCCCTTATCAAGCAGATCACCTACAGCTGAGAGATAATGTGCTGCTCTTGCCACAAAGTTGTCCCCTCTTCAACTCACTAATGGGGCAGGGGCACTCATCAATACTGGGCTCTGTGTGAGACTTCCTCCTCTCTTCTCTTTTTTTTCTTTTTCTCTGCTTTGGTGGTGTTGGTGGGAATTAGGAGGAGGAAAGGAAGGAGGTACATCTGGCGGCAGAGCTCTCTGCAGCCTATTGCAAATAAAGCCAGTCCCAGTAGAGCACCTACCTCCTTTTGTCATCATCTGATACAGATTCTTCTGCTCTGTAACATCAAAAGATATAAAGCACATTAGCAGATTGTTTCTTTCAGATATGCCATCACCATCTGGGTAGATTCAGGAGCAACGGAAGAAGGGGATTAATACTGATGGCAGTTTAATTCAGGTCATCCACAATTCAATAAAGTATTCACACAGGCACAAAAAGAGCGACAATTTTCCAATCTAACGTACAGACGAAAGAAAAGCATTAAGAATAAATGCACCTTAGTTTTCATGACCCCTGCCAATGATGCCTGAAAGTAGGTTTGGGAGCTGAAACAGGTAAATTAACACTTTTCCTGAGTGAGTCCCCACACTGCTCCATACATAACAGGAACATGAAGACTCTGCACATAACAGGAACGAGTCTGGGCTGCTGTTCCACCAAAAGAGGACCAGAAGGGACTGGGCGTCCATGCTGGCATGGGAACAAGGACGAAGAAAGATAAACTTTCATAGCAGCTGTGCCGAAAGATGTTACAGAGCCTCTCCATAAAATGAGGTACTGCAATTCCTAAAGTCAGAGTTGTTTGCCAACAAAATAACTGTTACTAATCCTTTATGAATGGGCAATTACTTCTCTTTTACCTTAAGGTAAAATCACAGGTCAGTCTGTAGGTCAATAGGGAGTCACTGCAGTTTGACTCCCCCCACTGAAATACTGCCCAGTGTAGCTGAATCGCGGCAGGGGGTAAAGTAATCGGCATCAATGTGAAGGCAAATGTAGTACAGAAAAGATAAACATTTTATTCTTACTCCCTGAGGGTACAGAGCCTGCACTGCAGTCTCTGTGCCCCACTGTCAGTCTTCACGCAAACCACTCACACACTTTTGATTAAATATTTGGACTTTGAGCTCTGCTTGCATGGCCGGGTATGGATCGGGGCAGCAGCTGCATTTTAGCTTGGTCTGCAACCTACCAACCTAGCAATAAAAATAGAGGCAAGGTAACTTGAGTGCTGTTAAATCCACAGACATCCTTCACCCCTTCCCTACAGCTGGGGGCAACTCTGACAACTGCCTGAGAATGAGTCCCGTGCCGTAGCTGCTCAGGGAGCCATGAGATATGGCCACAGCGGTGCCCGGGGAAGGCTGCCAACAGCGAAGGGAGCACCACGACCCAAGGAGGGCTCTGCTGTGGAAATGCTCATGCACAGGCTGTTCACCCAGATATCCTGACCTGAATACTCCCATTGAAGGACCAATTGCCTGGACTACAGGAGCAATGCAAAGATACTCCCCATCACGAGCTGATCCATGAATTTCTGATCTGCTCCCCAGGCAATAAAACTGAGAACTGGCCTTTAACCAGTATTAGGGATAAATTCATTCTGTAGCCTTGAAAGGCATTTCTGAACTATGATATTTAACAATAATATATGACATTTCTTATTGTAATTTATTTATTCTGAGAGGTAGATGTACCTACTGTTTAATCATCAGGGCTGTATGCCATTACTGACCCACGAAGTCAATGGCATTTTGGCCCAAAGTGCAGAGAGCTCATAGCAAGATGCAGCTTTAAATGCAAGAAAATCCCACTTAAACCTCAGTCACCACTCTCCTGGGAGGGTAGCAAATGCCTTAAAAATACTGCTACAAGTTGGAAATGATCTTACACTTATCTGCTTTCTAAGTGGCAGAACATGACAAACTATCCTTTCTGCATCACTGTAGTGAATAAGGGTACACAAGTCCTTTTAATAGTAGAGGTCTGGGGTAAATTTAAGTATGCTGGAGTTTTGCTAAATGATATTTACACGAGGCATAGCACTGAGTGGGGTGAGCCTCCTCGTCTGCTGTCTTTGCCTACATCTTACCACTCAAGAGAGATGGAGCAATAAACTCCTCATTCTCTGGCACTCCTGACACTCCTCCCTGGAGGAGCTAGTGCCATTTCAGAAGGCATCTCCCATCTCCTCTGACCCTATGTAGCCTAAGCCACCTTGCAGTCCTCACACACGCGGCCAGAAAAATGCAGAGATAACTTTCCTTGAGGACTGTGAAGCTGCTCTGTCCTAGTGTGGGCCAATACCAGCCGAAGAAAGTGGAAAGCCCGTGGGTAGTAACGAGCCCTGTATTTTTAGCAAAAAAAATGAAAACACTTTAAGAAAGGGACTCTGGGTGCCAAAAGATCACAAACAATCATTTCTGTTGAACCAACCGAATGTGTCACAGGATTGATTTTCTCATACAACTGGAAATATTTTCTGTAATCCAGATTAACCATTATCCAAAGAAAATAATCCTTTAAAAGCACTGGCAACTTCATGTGCAGTTCAAAGCCTCTAAAATGGAGTTGTAAGAATAATAATCAATATTGTCCAACAGGAAATTACAGTCAATGTTTAAAAAAAAAAAAGCCTCTACTGTGCAACAGGGCTATATTTTCTTCTGTTCTAGAAATGTTTTGCAATGGGGCATCACTGGACCATTACTGTCATTCTCTCACTAAAACAAATTATTCCGGTCTATGATTAAGCAGACTAGTTTTTTTTAAACATTTTGCTTTCTTCCTTTCCTCTTAATAGCTACAGATCAAAGTCTAATTTTGCAATACCTTTTCCCTTAAATGCACAACAGCAAATATAATCGGGGATTGTATAGGATACAGCTCTTGGGCTGGGTGATGACCGGGTGCAATCTGTTGTAGCCCTGCTGGGAAAGAGGAGGTGAACAGAGACAGGAGGAACGTGGAAGCGTGAGAGGGAAAAGAAAGAAAAATTCTGGTGATGGCACTTAAGGAAGAAGCCATTTTCCACCCCCTTCTGGGGACTCCTTTCTAAGCAGCACAGGAAGGACTGCTGCTCCAGTTTATGCATTACGCACATTCACACACCTCTTGCCTTCACACACTGTAGCTTAAGGCCCCATTTTGAAAGGCATCCACTAATTTCACATGTTCAAATGTGCAGGTGCCAGCTGAGCCATTGCGGCAGGTGCTGCTTCTGTGCCTAGGCTGGGTGACCACGGGTGGCTCTGGGGATCAGGGCTGCAATGGCCATACTGGACCGTGTGGAAATGAGAATGTAAAGGAGCTCCTTTGCTTTCGGCAGTGCTCCCATTGCCATATTTCCCAGACTCAAAGAGAGGACATGGGGATACGGGAGTCCAGCACATCCTTTCTCTCTCCCTCTCTACCTCCAATGCGTCTTTAGCTTCTTCTTATGTCAGGGATGAAGGAAAAACCTAGCATAAAAAATATCTTTAAATATCTGCATTTACAGAGTCCTCCAGGAAGAGCAAGGTAAGATAAGCTTTTCTGCACCAGGAATAGACGGCAAAAGGAACGTAGCAGTCCAACGTGCTTTGTACTGATCTGCTGCCATGTCGCTGCATCTTCCCTCAGATGTTGTTGACATCTACTGCAGAGGAACTGAGAGCACCTTTTTCAGCAGGTAGCGTAGGTGGAGTCCTGTAGCCGGTAGACGGATTTAACAGCAAATCCACATAACGGCTTTCTATTTTCAGCTGAAATAAATGCTTCTTTTGGTAAGGATTTGTCTATCCCAAGAGGCTTCCTGTCACCCTCCTAGCCTGAAAAATATACTTGGTTCAACTGTCAGTTTTTACATCCATCAGTCCTATGTCCCTTTGATGGTAAAAGAAGCTGGCACTTTTCACATAATATTTTAAATATCAAATGACAGGCATTCGCAGTAATTCATTCCATCCACATTTTTCTTACCTCAGCTTTTATGTTTGTGCCGAGCATTATACAGACTCTTTCTAGCCATGCTCAGTAGTCCCACCAGAAATGATTCACTAAACTTTGTGCAAGTGACAGATTACTTCTCCTCAGTTTCTCAGCGTTTCTTGAGAACAAGGGCCTGTCATTTGTATTTGATGGATTTCTTCCCAATATTTTGAAACAGGCTTGAATTGCTGTGTCCTTTCCTTCCTACTGCTACTAATCTTCCTCTGCACTTAGCCACATTCTGAATATCACAGGCATTGCATTATTTTCTAGCATATACTTTACCCCTCCTATATCTAAGCTTGTCTAGTTAGCAGTGACGTACTTCTCTTTATTAGTGGGGCAGGAGCATTGGCTAAAGCTGGCCAACAGATTCACCGTTGATTTGAGGGTTGGAGTACACAGGGAGATATTACGTTTCCAGACCATACGTCCTTCTTCTCACCGCGTGGCCCTCAGTCTCACAGCACTTTGTGTAGGAAGATCATCATATCATCATCCCTATCTTACTGGTGGAGAAACTCAAGGCCCAGAGGGCAAAGCAGCTTCCTTGCGGCCACCCTCGAGGGCTCAGAGCAGGATCCAGCCCCCTCTCCTTCCACCCGGCTGCTCACTCCAAGACATGCTGGTGCCTTGGCAATGAGCTGCAGTCAAGAAATGAGAAATCTCTTGAGTCAGAATAACCGTATTCTGTATCAAAAAGTATGATGTAACTAAGGACACGCTAAATGCTTTTCTGGACCAGAGTCGATACAACTGAATTTTAATGGCAAAAAAAACACGGGTTTTTTTAAAGAGAATTTTTTTTTTAATCTTTAGCTGATAAAAGTGAAAAGGTGTAAAATAAAAGCTTGTGTGAATCTACAATGTTAGTTAATATAAATCTGTTCATTTCCGTGAAACTAAAATAGTTTTTCTGGTATTTTACTCCCTTTGTAAAAATCTGCTGTTGAATGTGAGGACAATTGATTTAGGACTTTCCGGGTCACCACTGCCGTTCCTCATTAACAGATCTGTGTTTCTGCTGTCTGACAAGAAGGCTCAACCACACTATTACTCGCACAGGTTGTTCGGCTGGCTCTACTGTACTTATCTGAATGAGTAATCATTCCAGGGTTGACCCTTTCCCTTTGTTGAAGTCTGCACTAGTAGTTAAGTTTTTTCTAAGTTATTCCGATACTTTTTTGAAACATGACAGATGATCCAACACTAACAAGTAGGATGTTCCCAGTTTAACTCCTAAAGCCTGGCCCTACAAATGCTTACACACACATAAACACAGTTTTACATATACCCATACCTTTAAGTACAGAAACATGCCTACTAAATTCATAATTTTATAGTGCTTGCAATTTTGAAATTTAAAACTACCGAAGAGCAAAGAGAGGGATGCAGTTTTAAGTCAGTCACTTAAATTATCTAAATTGAACAATAAAAAAGGCCCTAATATAAATTAAAAACAGTGAGTTTGTATATATAAAAGTGCTGAGGGCATGGATGCTGCAGGCTGTGTCAAGAAGAGGTTCCTCATAAGCTTGTCTTCTGTAATTCATTTATTGTCTGACACTGCAAACCTAGAAAACAGACTGCAGGGGTAACATAGATCGCAAGAGTATCTGTGACAACAGTGTTCATCTGCCAAGTGAGACCTGTCGTTAGCTCTCAGCTGTGCTCTGTAATAGCAAGGACAAGCCTGTTGTTAAGCTCTTCTCTCCTCTTGTTTATCTGAGTTGACAGTCCTCATTTCTACACCAGGATTCCTCTGTCTAATTAGAGTAGTTATTCTAAATGAAGTAAATAAAACTGAAGAATGTTCCTATTGCATAACATGAAAATCTTTCCCAGGTCCCTCAGTTTCAAACTCTAGTGGTAAATTCCAGTTATATGAAATAGAAGGCAAGACCTCAGGAGGACGTCTTTAATGTTTCCTTTGATAGGAAAATAAATTTATGGCTGAATAAAGCTGTTCCTGCACATTTCTACATCAGCAAATAAAAAATGGGCTGAGAAAGGCTGATCTTTTGCTGCTGCTTTTCTGAAAACCAGAAGTTGGCAGGAGACAACAGGACAGGACAATAGAGGTTCAGACCTTCCACATTTAGAGAAAAACAGGATGGGTAGGGCTGCCCTCTGCTACTCAGCATCAAAGATAAGGGAGAGAAAGAGGAGCCAACAGATACTATCTTCAATGCGGAGAACATCTAGAGAAGGTGGGTACTTTGAAAAGGAAGTCTGGATGGGTTACTGAGTCTCCCGCAAAGAGGGGAAATTTGCCTCAGTGGCTCCTTAAATCTCACACAGGGCTTGGTGGAAATTTATGTGATTGCTTCATACAATGACATGGTCTTTGGAAAAAGGTGTACTGGTACCTGACAAGGAAGAGTAGTCTGAAGCAATATGACCACCTCTGGGAGACAACTTTCTCAACAGAAGCAGAAAAAAGACATTTCTGTTAGAGAAATAACAAGGGAAGGAATCTGTAGAAATGTAAACAAGACATGAAGTTGTTTTGTGGAGATGGAAGCTGTCACTAAAGACAATAAACATCTGGTGGTGTTGATTATATGTTAGGAACCAGATGAATCATGTATGACTAAATCTAGTACAAGGCTAGTAGGACTGAAGACAAGTCCAGGGTTACATATTTGAAAGAGTAGAGTAAGTACTTACACATCTTTAGTAGTCCCTGTGGCACCTAGAATGAAAAAAAAGTGCATGTTTACAAGATAATGGCATAATCCTCTAAACCAACCGATAGTACAGTAAGCATTTTTCCGTCTTGCTGCCCTAAACAATGCAGAAATAGCAACAGAAATTTTCTATTGTCAGAGAACAGATTTCTCATGATTGTCTAGTTTATCCTTAATGATTATCTATATTATCCCTTAAGTCTACCACACTTAGATCTGGGCCAGATTCTCAGTGGGTGAAAATGATGCTGCTGGGGACCAGCACCCAGCTACAGTCACTCAGGATGAGAGCAACATAAGATAAAATTGATCTTTCTGACTTTTATATGCTTCACTTTGCTCAGTCTTCTGCTGGCTTTGTCTGCTACAAAGTCGCCGCAACTAACCAAGCAGTTACTCCTGAATGCCTGTTTATTTTGTGCACACACCATTTGATTCAGTTGTAGACTTGGCACCACATGTGTAAAATGCTGCTCCATTCTTCCTGCCAGATAAATAAAGTTTTATAAAACAACTAGACAGAACTAATATAAATATAGGGCCACAATCCACCCAAAGCCCAAGACATCTAAAGAGATCAACCACCCCTTAATTCATCTTGCTATTTAACAAAAAAGCAAAAAGACAAAAGCTACCACCTGGCTGCCTGATCTCAGTGATCAATTTTTTTTTGGTGATTCAGATGCTTCTTGCTGGGAGACAAACATTCACTCAAGTACAAACTCTTTCCTGTTCCTCCCAAGTTATTAATGCCATGTTGCTATTGCTGGTATATCATTCAGCTGAGTAACCAGCAAATTATCCCTTCTATTAATTACACAAGCTAGGGTAGATATTAGAAAACCTTTCACTTCTTTTCCTCTTCCTCTCAGTACTTAGCTGGAAGAGGTTATCTGAGCTCGCTCTGAAGAAACCACAGTTGTCAACTCAAAGGATTTTATGGGTTTGGAGGTAGGTTGGGTTTTTTTCAGCCATAGCACTTCATTTCTTGAAAAACTTTATTTTTGCTGCTGAAAAATATCCATAAATAGCAAATATCTTTCATCTCACTCTGATGTGTAAGAATATGCCTTCTGCATCCTTATGTTAAATGCAGAAAGGAAGAAACAGTCCTGCAAGGCCTTCTAGCACTGTCTACCTGAATGGATGGTTTGGATGGCAGGAAACATTTTCCTTTACAGCTAACTCCTGAACATAGTATCACTCCCAATTTCTATGACTTGACTATCCCTCCTTTTCCCAGCAGTAATGTTGACTAGACTTTTATAAGACTGTACACATTTCTTGTGTTAGTATTGCTTCCAGAGTCAGCAAAGTCTCAGTACAGCTATATGTATCAGAAGAAACTCTTAATTAAGCTGGAGGGAGTAGCCCTATGCACAATAAGCTCAGCTCCTTGCTTTAACACTTTATTCTGCCAGGCAGCTTTCTGAGACTTTTGGCTGTATAGGCACGTCTACATAGTACTACATATAAACTCTCCAAATTAATTGTGTCCAGGTGGAAGGTTGGCATCGCAGAGCTGCATGCAAGCTTGATCTCAGCCGATGCAGGGAGACGTTTTGTGCTACCAAGGCTAGTTCATCCAGAGTCAGCTCAGCTATGTGCCTTTAGGGCACCACCCTGCACATCTAGACAGAGCCTAGGCATCAGCAACACCTCAGACAATGTATGTTTTGAAAAGCCTAGCTCCATCGCTGTAGCTAGCAGGATTTTTTTTTTTTTCCAGAAGAAACTACTCCTGTGCTGTGCCTGTTCTGCACCAGCACCACGACTTTCTCATTTTCTCAACCTAAGCTCACTGCAAACAAACAAACTCAATTTCTCCTCCAAAAAGGTTCATGGTCCTTTTTGAGGCCTTTGCCAAGCCTTTTCTGAGTCTGAGCTGAGGTCTCAGCGCTTTGAATCCTCATTTGAAAAACTAATGCCTTCCTTGCAGGAAGTATAGCAAAAGTAAGAATTGTTTAATACACAAACTGAAACCTTAGCAAACCAAGTGAGAAGAACGGTGTGCCTGCAGTACCGCTACATTTCCCAGTGGACATACTCAAGTTCCAGTCAATCACCAGGCACACTTCAATGCCATGCCCATGTTCGATGCCATACCTGTCTTGCATTATGGTACACATACATTCACACTCTGGGGACAGGAGCTGTCTCTCAGACCCATCAATTTGGGATTCATGTAGAGCTATACGGCTATGAACCTGTGTTTGGGAATGGAGATGTGCCACTAGCATTCACACCTGGCAGCACTTGTCTCCTTTGAATATTAGAGAGGGTACCACTGCTGAAAAATCACTGCCGCATTTTGAAGTGCACCTCACACAAAACCATTGAGAACTAAGTATTATAAAAACAAATTCACTTTTTAAGAGATGATATTTACTATTTGTAATAAATAAATACATATAATAAACAAACAAATAGTTTGTTTTCTATTGTTTTTATATGTACAAAGAACCAGGTTATCCTCACTTCCATTGATGGGATTCCATTGATTTCAGTGGTGTTATTTCTCATTTTCACTAGCAAAAGTGAAAGGAGTTTGGTCCAAATTCACTTGAGTACCACTAAAGCACCTGAATATAGATCTGAAAGTATTTCCAGTTCACAAAGCAGTTTTCTTCCTGGAAGAGTTCTGAGCTTGCAAATGAACATCACTTCAGTTGGGTGTCCCGTAACTATGTAAAAACTCATGAGGTTTTCTTCATTAGGAAGCCTGAACACTCCTTGTACATGGATTTTATTTCACAAGGAACCCAATAACATCTCAGTTTGTACAGACGTGTTTGTTTTTAAAGTCCAATCCATTCACTCTCACCCCTGTTACTTCACTGACATATTTCTCTAACTCTTCCGTGTTTAGTGAGCAACACATTATTTTATAGCTACTCAAGTTCCTCCTGCCAGAAGTTCAGCCAAAGAATCTTGTTTACTACCGATTCACAAACAGTGCATAGCTGTGCCACAGCAGCAAGGCATAGTGCTCTCATAGCCGTGATGTTTTAGAAATACAACTTGAAAAAAGGTTCACATATTTGAAAGCTTGTCCATTTTTCCCACTCTATCAGCTTGGCCTAAAATAGGCAGCACTTGACCCTACAAATCTAGTCTCAATAGGCTCATGTTGGTTTGGTTTTCCAGGACCTGCCTAACCTCAGCAACAGACTGGAGGCTGCATCCACAAAAAATAGGCTGTACTGAGTTGTCCTGAATGACCTCTCTGCTTACTCCATCTACATAGTAGGACCATGGGTGCATTTTGGCGTTTTAGAGCTGCAGGAGGAGGAGGAGGAGGAGTATAGCCTGCAGAATAAATGAGGCACATTCAGACATACATCGCTCTGAGCCCAAGTGATTACAGAAGAAAAACATTCTGTCTAGAGTAGTGGAGCTGTGATCCCTCAAAAAAACCCATAGCATTTAAACAGCCACAAATGAAGAAGGACAAAAACATATCTCAAAGCATCTTCTGTTCAGTGAGAGGGGGTTTTGCAATTTCAAAACAACAGTAGCTTGTTACTGGTGACCCTGCAGAATTTCAGTGATTGCAGGACAAATGCAAAAGATGGTTGAAAGAAATTGATAGCCACAGACGATATTCCTCTGTGCTGAGAAATGCATCATGAGTGAACATGGAAGACAAAAACTTCAGAAAAACATAAAAAGGATGAGAGGCAACCACTTAGATGAATAAAAACATGGATACAAAAAATGCCAGTATCTGAATTTAGGGCAGACTGTGAAACATTTTTCCATTAATTTTTAATGAACATTTTCCTCCGATATTTTATTGCAAATACTTCAAGTTGTTACAAAAAGCAAATAAAACCCCTCAAAATTATACGTATATGCATGCAACAGTTAAGATTACAAATGAGTTTCTATTGTAGGCTCCCTTCTGATTTGCTCCAAAAGACAGCAGTATGGAACCAAATCTTAACATCAATGAACTTATTCTATTTATACCTCAGTGTAACCAAGGACAGGATTATGTCAATTTACTTCAAATTGATTACTTCTTCAACTCATCAGGTGGCAGCTTTGTACATAGACTTGACCTGATCAAACATTAATTTTAAAAATTATTTGGATTTTAAATAGAATAGCAGCATGGTTTCCTGGGCATTCCACCGGACCTGAAGTTAATAAATCTGTTTAAACTTGGTGTGAAAGTTCTCCTTCATCATAATTTGGCTGTATTTGAAGCTCTCCACAGACTAACAGCTTCTCTGTATATTTAAATTAAGGCTAGACTGCCAGCCTCCACCGAGTACCATAATTTAAGGTGCTGTCATTGCTACTACAATTGATATAGAAAGGAGGAGGCAGTTAAAAATTGTTAGTGAAGCAACACTAGAATGAAGGGAAATGCCTTAACTCAGAAGAAAAAGTAAATTAATGTTTAAGGGCATATTTTTAAAAGACCAAAAAGGAAGAACTATTTTGGAGCTCCTAGAAGGCCAGGAAATAACATGAAAGAAGGATATGTAAAGCCAGCTAACAAAACATGGGGAAAATAGCAATTTGGTAAAACTTCCTATGGGTAATGGGAAATTTAAAAAATAAATATAATCCATAGTTAATAGATAAAATAGCTGGGTGATTTAAGAAGGATGTGTATCCATCAGTTTACTCGGATAACAGAAGCTGTCATTTCTCAACTGAGGAGCCTTTTGCCAGTGTCTGATGCCCTGGAAGGAAAACTTAAACTCTGTGAGTTATATTGGTGTTCTGGAGTACTGCACCACAGACAGAAATGTTATTCTAGATCATGCCTATTAGTTTAGATCTTGCAGACCATAGGGCTGATAGCTCCTCTGATGTCATTCCAGCCGTGCAACAGGAGATAATATCATTAGCTGAACTATCATTACATATACGTCTGCTTAGGAAAAATCGAGTTAGGCAACAATAGAAATTTCACCAGAGTAAGAAAATGGGGACTAGCATAACACGTCTAATGTATTCTGTGAAGTATGCTACAATATTATCCTTAGTCATATAATATGACAGAGTGTTAAGGTTAATTATATGTTATGTACCTCTAGCTTTGACGTTACTGACTGTAGAATAGTCATAACTTTAGCATGAAAGATGTAGTCATGCTGTGCAAGCCACAAAATTAATTTGTATTTACACAGTATTCACATCTTTCAGGAAAACATTGAGAGTTACACTTTCCTTAAGAGCTCTAGAATTCTGATTAAAAATGGTATTTCTTCTCCTTCCCCTACATAAAAAAAATTTATTTTTATTAGACACACTTTGTAAGGAATGCTAAACAGAAAAAAATAAATAGTAGACATGTGACTTCCTACTTTTATTACCAGTTGTTTGTTATTATAACACTACAGACTGCATAGAGTTATTCCTGACTGACAGTGGTGAAAGCGAGAAGAGAACTGGACCTTTCAGAGCTGTATTTGCTTTGGAAAGGTCTATCAGGGCAACAGTAATAATTCCATTACACTAATTATGTGTTCTACACAGCATTGCTGTTTTTTACCTGCGCTAAGCCACTGGAGATCTGTGGACTATTTCTAAAGAGTATGCAAAAGGCTGCCACAAAATGCAAGTTCAAATGTATTATGAATAACAGTACAGGTAAGTTAAACTACTGAAAGGGCCGTACCTTCAGTAAAAATAATTTATGAATGTACAAGCCAAAACCTGTTGAAAACAGCTGCCTTTAATGCAACAGTGGACACATTTATTTAAACAAACATACTTTTAGTTCAACGTAATTCACTAAATACTACCGCTGTCAGAGTTTTAGTCTATTTGACATTTACCCATTTGTGTCCTGGTACAAGTTCCACAGGATGGCCAGTTCAACATTAATTGAGAAGCTACCACAAAGGGACTAGTAATCAACTCAAAATGTTCCTCTGAACTTCTCTGATATATGCTCTGGTGCTTTTACCCAGCAAACAGAAATGGGATGTGAACAAGCATCACCCCAGAAGTAGGAAGCTACACTGGTCACATACTGAAACAACTTCCAGTCACAGCAATGCAGGAATCAACTAATGGGAGAGAATGAATGTGTGCAAACAGGACAGCTCTGATGAGAGTGCGGGAAGTTCAAGCGAATTCATACAGTGCATTCTTTATGGATGAGAGAGGCCTCTGATAGATACACATACCTAAAACATAATTTATAATCATTTAACAGAAATTGAGTAAGCAATAATGGCAGAAAAGCCTCCCCCTTCCCCTGCGAGTGTGAAGTGCAGGGTTTAGTGGGAAAACCAGCAACACACCACACAAACGTACGCACAGACATACAACTTGGAGAAGTCATCATCATTCATGCTCAAAGATATGCCCAGTTCTGCGAATCGGGACTAGCACCACTAGAGGCACCACTAAAGCTCTGGGTAAAGTAAGTCAAAGTGGTGAGAGATGGAGACCCCGTGACTCCCAACTGGTCCAACCGCTATTTTGCAGTGCATTCTCAAGAGGTTATGAAGCTAGCAAATGTACCTGAAAGACTTAGTACAGGTACTGAAACAGGTGGCAACGTTTGCCAAGTGCAGTTAGGATGAAAAATGATTGAGAAATGCTCATATTTACAATTATACGGTGACGGTCCACTTATCAATTTCCATATAATTTCCTTTTCCGCGGGGAGCAAGAGCACAACAGCACCATCTTCCCCGATCTTATCTCTTTTGAAAACAACCATGAACAAATAAGGGAGCCAGCTGGACACACCAGCCAGCGGTACACATTAATATGCAAGAAACCTCAATCTTGTAATATCCTCCAACTTCTCTGGCAAGCAGAGGAGAAGAAGTGACACAAATTCATTTCAGAAGTGGCATTCGTGGCCTTATAGGGAAGCAAAGAGGATGGAGCTTACACCCCTGACGGGATCCTTACGTCCAGCTCCTGGCCTGGGCTCGCCGTGCCTAGGATGGCTACTGTTGGAGGCGGTGACCCTAACGACAGCCCGGGCACCAGAAAGCCTCCGGTGTCCCCCGGCGAGCCTCATCACCCTCTCTTCCCCGGGCAAGCGAATCAGCCTCGGGGAAGGAAGATGCTCTCGCAGGAGCGCGGCTCGGAGGGGCATACCCCAAGGCGGGGGGATGCAGCCCCACCGGGGGCGAGTGTGTGCCCGCCGCCGCGCCCCGACCC